CAGTTGCTTAACCAACTGAGCCACCCAGGTTCCCTCTCTTTCTCTTTTTTTGATCAATAATTTTTCTGATTTTGTTTCATTCTCAGTGGACAAACATGGAGCAAATATTTTTAGCAGCTCTTAGAGATAGTCATTGTAGGGGGAGATCAACTTTACTGCAAAGACACTTCCCAAGTGTAGGTTTCAGAGGAAGAAGAGGGCTCATTGCTATAATAAAGGAGGGGGAGTGTGCGGGAAGGGAAGGGGTACAGTGGTGCAGGGGCATAAGGGAGGGGCAGCAAATGGCTGGGAATGGAAAGCATGCACTTAGGAAGAGAGACAGTTCCATGAGGATTTCTTTATAGTGGCATCCAAGGGATCCTGTGGAAGCAAACTTCCAACATTCCTACCCCAATTTTACCATAATCTAGGTGCAGTTGGATTTCTTACAGAAGCTGGTGAAGGAGCTGAAATCTGAGTTAGGGTACACAGAGGTCAAACAGAATTAAGCTTTGCAAAAAGGGTAAATATCTCTCTCTCTATATATATATAGATATAGATAGATATAGATATATAGATACACACAAAAGTAAACATTACAGTTAGATTTTATTTAATTAAAAAACCTGGCCTTAAGTGGTATATTGTCTGCATAGATCACATTAACAGAAATGCAGTCCAGTCCTAAAAATTAATTAAAAGAGATTGAATTGATATTAAAAATGGTGGAGGGGAACTAATCTGCTAACTGTAGTAACACATCTTAAAATCCTCTCCTCCACTCTTTCCTCTACCAATATCTTCCATAGCCTATGGCTGCTTCTCAATATCCCTCACTCTCCAACTTCCAAATCTGTCTCCATTCCCATCTCAATCTCCACCCAAATCTTTTCTAAGCCCAATAAATAGCAACAGATATTTGTTAAACATAAACGACCTCTGAAGCAGATTGATGAATGAAGAAGATATACTGGTGGATAAACCTGAAAAGCAGTCTTGTCCTCACGATCCTCTGCTATTCATTCTAGTGGGGGAAAGAGACAATAGAAAAGATGCATAAGTAAAATACATACAGTTATAAATAATAGATAGTAATAAATAATAAGAACCAAAACAGCAATAATGAGTCTACAATGTCTATTAGAAGGAGTGGTGGCCATTGGAGTTCTTGCTGAGAAGGGGACTGCCAAGATAAAAAAACAAGCCATGGAAATAAATGAGGAGAAAGCATTGAGGGTTGAGGGAACACCAAGTACAAAAAAATCTGTGTGTAGAGTAATTCTGGCATGTCCAAGAATGGGAAAGGAAGCTTCTGTGGCTGATGGAGAGAGTAGAGAGGAAGGTTTGTAAGAAAAGGGCTCAGCACAAAAAAAAAAAAGGATCAGCGAATTCATGTGACTTTACATATAATAGTCTTTTTATTCTGCATGAAGTGGAGGTCATTGGGAATTTCTGAGTAAAGGAGTGACACTAACTTATGTTTTAACAGACTGTGAGTTGAGAAAAGAAGAACTAGAGTGAAGGGAGGCATAGGTAGACACAAGCAACTCAATCAGAAGACTTCTACAATAATTCATGAAATAATGGTATTTTGGTTGATGATAAGGGGTCATATGAAGGGGCAGGATCTTGAATATATTTTGAAGGCAGCATCAATGGGATTATTTTTGATGGACAATTTGGGAGTTTGGAGAGAGATAATGGAATTGTTATTGTTTATGATAACAAGGACTGAGGATGAGTTGGTCTCAGGAAAAATAACAAGAACTCGGTTTGGGGTATTTATTTATTTTTTTAAATTTATTTTCAGCATAACAGTATTCATTGTTTTTGCACCACACCCAGTGCTCCATAAAATCCGTGCCCTCTCTAATACCCACCACCTGGTTCCCCCAACCTCCCACCCCCCGCCCCTTCAAACCCCTCAGATTGTTTTTCAGAGTCCATAGTCTCTCATGGTTCACCTCCCCTTCCAATTTCCCCCAACTCCCTTCTCCTCTCTAACTCCCCTTGTCCTCCATGCTATTTGTTATGCTCCACAAATAAGTGAAACCATATGATAATTGACTCTCTCTGCTTGACTTATTTCACTCAGCATAATCTATTCCAGTCCCATCCATGTTGCTACAAAAGTTGGGTATTCATCCTTTCTGATGGAAGCATAATACTCCATAGTGTATATGGACCACATCTTCCTTATCCATTCATCCGTTGAAGGGCATCTTGGTTCTTTCCACAGTTTGGCGACCATGGCCATGACTGCTATAAACATTGGGGTACAGATGGCCCTTCTTTTCACTACATCTGTATCTTTGGGGTAAATACCCAGTAGAGCAATTGCAGGGTCATAGGGAAGCTCTATTTTTAATTTCTTGAGGAATCTCCATGCTGTTCTCCGAAGTGGCTGCACCAACTTGCATTTCCACCAACAGTGTAAGAGGGTTCCCCTTTCTCCACATCCCCTCCAACACATGTTGTTTCCTGTCTTGCTAATTTTGGCCATTCTAACTGGTGTAAGGTGATATCTCAATGTGGTTTTAATTTGAATCTCCCTGATGGCTAGTGATGATGAACATTTTTTCATGTGTCTGATAGCCATGTTTTGTCTTTTTGATTGAAGGAGGTTTTCAAGTGGATAAACTCCAGGACTAGAAATGCCTGAATCCATCCCTGCCTTTGATTATTTTACATGTGCTGTTCAGAATGCATAATGCTAGTGTAGTCTGATATAATATAAAACCCTAGACTCATTTTATAGTCTCTCTCCTGCCCCAGCTCGGTTCCAATTCAGATTTGAAAGTTTCAGGGTGTTTGGTGTGTGGGCGCAGGTACTATAGGCTTCTCTTATCTTTGCTTCCCTCCTGCTCTGGTTAGCTTCTGCTCTTGACCTCTCTAGGACTGGCCTCAGGGGAAATAAGCACAAGTGGCTGGTGCAGCAGCGATATGGAATGGGTGTCTGTTGGCATAGCGAATCATCCCAAACTTACCCCTTCATTCTTACACAGTGAGAGCTTTTGTGTATTTCTTGGCAGTATTTTCTTCTGAAGTTTCTCTGCATCTCAACTGATGAAGACAGTGTCTTCTGTGGGCTGGTCACCTATGACTCCTCCTCCACCCCTAGGTTTGTTCTGGTACCCACTCTCTGTTTTGGCCTCCCTCTGCCTTTTCAGATAGAACCCTTCAAGGGATGTCTTTTTAAGGGCATCCCGTGGCAAGTCTACGTTTGGATTTTGAGAAACTTCTCTGGCCATGGAAATGCAGCTTGACCTAATACACTCCCTTCTCTTTTTCTGTAGGCCTTGAATTTCTCAAGTCACTTTCTTTTGGCTTGAGATTAAGGGGAAACATCACCTCTGCTTCCCCATGGGTGTGTGTGGGCCAACACAGCTCACTGATAACTCTCTCTGAAGAGATCTTCTCCGTCCTTCAATCTTTTTAGACTGAGGTCAGCAACCAGCTCACACCAGCAGGACCAGTATGGGACTGCTGTCGCCTCTCCTCCACTCCACTTAAAAAATCCTGAAGGAGTGCTTTAGCACTTGTCTTCGAAAGTAAGTGTACTTAAAGCTTATTGTTTTGTGCTTTACCTTAGCAAGATTAAGCTGAAGCAGAAACAATGGCCTGTGATAACCTGTCACACTCCCAAATTGGAAAACACAGGGATATGGAGATGAAACAAGTCTGAAAGAACATTTTGGCATATGGCACCAGTGGTACAAAAATGGCAGGATACTCCCATCATGTGAGAAGGTGGCCACCCAGTTCTGGAGGGCAGGGTGCTCAGAATAAAACCTTTCCATTTCTGACCTGGCCAATCAGGCACATCTTTATTTAAAGCGGTCTATAATTTCCTTTTCTAATCTAGGTTTTGACTTCTAGGTATTACCCTTAAAGACAGAAAGAGTAGCTGTAAGGAAATGTCAAGTCTAAGAACCAATGGATACTTCTTCATGTTGTAAATGGGCCCATAAGAAAAAAATCTATCTTGGTTTCCCATGATTTAATAATCCAGTGATTTCCTTGGTCATGGGGATTGGAATCCATAGCATACTCTCCGGGCCTCTACAATGGGTTAGAAAAATTTACCATCCAAATACCCAGCGGTTAACTTCTAGCCTGAACTGGTCCTCATAAAGAAGTAAGTTTTTATGGAGATAAGAATTTCCATTCATGTCGTAGCTGGAATGGAAATAGAAGCTTATTAGTTTAAAAGATTGTACTGAGTTACTGGGATTAAATTATTAAAATGTTAAACACTTTTGATCCTTGGTTATCCGTATGATATTGGGGTGTTTGTGAATTATCTCAGATTTCACACACTCGCTCCTCCCCCCTCCCCCTATTCAGTAGGCCAACAAAGAACTCACACTTGTAGATACTGATGTGCACTCTTACATTGAACTCATTGGCAATAAAACCTACATTGAAAGTAATATTGAAATTTTTTTTACTGTGGCCCCTCCTTCCTAGTCACTTCCGGGGTATCAGATAAGCCAGTAAGACTTCTCGCGATAGGCGTACTAAGCTTTCAGCGGGTGGGATGGAAGAGTGGGGAACACTCTCGCGAGACCTGAAGATACCACAGCCCCAGCATCCACAGGGAGCAGAGGAGGACCGGAAGTCCTTCATCTTGAGATCAGGCCCTGTGCTGATAGGGCACCAACTTTCACTGTGGGAAACCGTTTTTTTTCCGGGAAACAGGAAGCCGGCCCCCTGGCTGGAGGTCCCGTCTCCTTGGCCTTTCCTGCTCTTCCAGTTTATCTGTCATTTGTGCTTGCCTTTGCTCCCTTTCCTTGTTGCATCCTTATAGTAGAAAAGAATACTCTTAGTGTCTCCCCCACTACCTCTGCTGAACCTGTTGGATATCTCATTCCCGGAGCTGGGGTTCCTGCCTCACGCCCCTCTGTAGCTGGGAAGTGGGGCCTGGGGATGTCTGGACTCCTGGGACATTGAAGGAAGGGCAGAGAGGGCACAGAATCCACCTTCTGCGTCTGCTACCAGACGCGGCTTCCCCCTCCGCCATGCACCCAGCGGCCTTCCTGCTTTGCACTCTTGTGGCCACTTTGCTGTGGGGAGCGGCCCCCGTCCGGGGGCTCGTTCGAGCAATTTCTGACCACAATAACAGCATGGACTTTGCAGACCTTCCAGCTCTCTTTGGGTCTGCCTTGAGACATGAGGGACTTCAGGGGTTCCTTGTGGAGGCTCAGCCGGCCAACGCCTGCAGCCCCGTTGCCTCGCCACCCCCAGTTGCGGTCAATGGGTCAGTCTTTATTGCACTTCTTCGGAGATTCGACTGCAACTTTGATCTCAAGGTCCTAAACGTTCAGAAGGCTGGGTATGGTGCAGCTGTGGTACACAATGTAAATTCCAATGAACTTCTGAATATGGTGTGGAACAGTGAGGAAATCCAGCAGCAGATCTGGATCCCATCTGTGTTTATTGGGGAAAGGAGTTCCAAGTACCTGCGTGCTCTCTTTGTCTACGAGAAGGGAGCTCAAGTGCTCCTGGTCCCAGACAGTAACTTCCTCCTGGGCTATTGCCTCATCCCTTTCACAGGGTTTATGGGACTGCTGATTTTGGCCATGGGAGCAGGGCTGATAGTTCGTTTTATCCAGTACCAGAAACAGCTCCAGCAGAATCGGCTGACCAAAGAGCAACTGAAGCAGATTCCTATACATGACTATCAGAAGGGAGACCAGTACGATGTCTGTGCCATCTGCCTGGACGAATATGAGGATGGAGACAAGCTGAGGGTACTTCCCTGTGCTCATGCTTATCACAGCCGCTGTGTGGACCCCTGGCTCACTCAGACCCGGAAGACCTGCCCCATCTGCAAGCAGCCTGTTCACAGGGGTCCCGGAGAAGGGGAGCAGGAGGAAGCAACTCAGGGGCAAGAGGGTGTTGAAGAAGGGGAGCCTAGAGACCACCCTGCCACAGAACGAACCCCCCTTCTGGGCTCCAGCCTCACACTTCCCACATCCTTTGGCTCCCTAGCCCCAGCCCCCCTTGTTTTTCCTGGGTCTTCAATAGCTCCATCACCATCTCCATCCTCTTCTTCCTCTTCTGCTGTTGTCTTGATCTGATACCCTTCTCCAGCTCCCCTCTCCTCTTGAGACCTAATTGCACAGTCCCTCTTCCTCCTGTCTTCCCCTTTGAGGGATAGGGGACATTTCCACCCCAGGTTTCTTTCTCCCTTACCCAACCCTATCCTTTTGAGGGGGACGGGTGTAGAAAGGGATGGGGTCCTCAATTACTGGGTTAATAAAATTGTATTTTCTGGAATTAAAAAGAAAGTATTCAGAAAGCTGTCAAAAACAATTTGAAAGAACGTACTTTTATAGTTTGTGTCAAGGATAAAAAAATGAGAGACATTATTTTAAATCACTCAGAGTGTCTTAAATTTACTTTGGGATATTAACATTTCATATTTGGCCTCAGTGCAATTTCTCCTATCTGTAAAAATTTCAGTGAATTTCTTTCAACCATTTTTGAGAGGGGTGAATATAAATTGAGTAATCTACACTTATCTAAATGTTTGTCATCTCTTAATGCCTAAAGAGTGCAAAACTTTTGAAATGTCTATGTGGTCATGACAAAAAATAACTAAGTTGTAGGTCACCTGTCGTCTCTCTTCTTCTGTGTTAAGTGGTTATGTAAATATAACAGATTTAATTGGTTTATAGCATGTGGTCATTTAGAGTTCAAATATGGCTAATTGGGATAGAATTTTAAGAGAATGCTTTTTAGCTTTGTCTTTTCACATCTTGGAACTAAAAACCTCTTTAAATGAAGGAACCATGCTACCTGAAATGCTTTTCACCTGAGAGTGGTGATTGTTCAGCCATATTTTCTCTCTGGAGCTGCCTATGTGGTAATTGTATAAGATGGAAATTTGCTAAAAAGGGATCATTAACTATACCCTTCCTTTTTAGAAATTAAGGTCATTTTTGCCTTTTAATGATTATTAATGTTAGCTAAGCAAGTTCTTATTTGTATGCCCAATTTCAGCTCACCTCAATCTTCCCAACACTGCATTGGTAAAGCAAATGAATAATACTCTCAGTATAACTCTGTTATTTGGATTAGAGTTTTCTCTTTCATGAAAGCCTTGAAATAACTCTTACAACACACTGAAAGACTTCTATATTGGGAAACAAAATCAAGAGTTAGAAGAAGATGTAGTATTTAAGCTAATATAGAGTTTTATTTCTATAAAGATGCATTTAAAAATCATAGTTTTAGAACTGAGATGGTTCTATTAAATCAGCTGTAAATTCTATTGCGATCGATTATTTGTTCTATTCATTAATGTTATGCTCCAGGTTTTTACTTCAATATTTTTCACAATACGCATCCTTTTGGCATGAGAGTGTATTAAAATGTATGCATTGAGGAGCATTATGCAGTATGGAGGGCCACAGAACCATGGGATCCTCAAGGAAGAGATCCTGAGGTGAAGTTTTTTGTTTACTAGTTGATCAAGGAATTAAGGAAGCAGAACTGGGCAGATGGAGAAGACTGGTTCACCGGAGAGCACTGTAACTAAGGATGGCCCTCTAGAGGTGTCCCAAATCACAGCAGGAGGGCAGTTCCTCATGCCCTTGAAGTGCCCAGTCATTTCTTACAGGCTGACACAGGTGGAGAGGAGTGATCTTGGGCTGGGTAGCTTTGTTCAGACAAGGAGAGTTTCTGGAGAGAAACTCACCTGAGAACCTTTGGTTTTGAAAACCCTCAGGAGCTAGAGGAATGAGCGCCTCAGTCTTGACGGGGTCGGGGTGGAAATCTGGGCAGTTTCTATAAAGATTTACTAAGGGTGGGTGGATCCAAAGAGTAACCAGTGTGAGAAACTTCAGTAGCTTACTTTGTGCAGGGGTCCTTTCTGTTACAATACAATACTCTGAGGTGAGTACCAGATGGGAGCATCATACGGAAAGTGCCTAATTAATATTTGTATGTGCTTCCTCTAATAGGAAGCGATGTGGAGAGAGTGGTTTTTGTTAAGCTGAGTTGCTGATGAGATAAAAATAAGAGGTGAAGTCTGGGAAGTGTGCAGCAATATTTCCCCAGCTTCGGGGCCAGCAATGGGTGACTGTTGAGAGTTGCATGTACTCACTATGTGTCTTCTGAACATCCACCAAAGGCTTGATGACATTCCAGGAGCTGCAAGGACCTGTGACCCAGAGAAGGAAGATCTCATTCCCAATTCTCTGGTATTCAGGAGAAAACAAATAAGTAAACAGTCATTACATAGCATAATGCCTGTGACAACTCATAAGAGAGGACGTGGATGACCCAGGAAGAATTATCCACTGGTGTGCTGGAGTGGCTCATAATTTCTCAGAAGCCTTGTCACATTGTTGCTAAACGCAGGTGTTATTAAAAATTAAGTTATATAAACTTACCATTAAATAAATTGTATTAAAAACAAAGTTAATACAGACTCAAAACTCATCAATTCCTGACTATTTTGCTCTTATTTATGCTCTAGAGATTCTTCATGTCTGTTAGCTCTGTCTTGATGTAGTTCTCATAAAGTTTGTGCTGCTGTGCATATCTCCTGATCTCTGTGTCAGTGACATCACATTGGTGCCCGAAATTCGTCATGACAGCAGTATTTATAGCACAGAAATTGGGAAATGTTCCCCCCTCATCTCACTTTGTCAGGATTAGCTTTATTGTTTTGTTGATTATCTAGATGTAAGGAAGTAATAGAGAAAATGTTAATAATGTAGATGAAACTTAAATATATGATGTCATGTCTCCAGCCATTACATGACAAATAACACCAAAAAATTGATGAAATATCGTTCCAGGGTTTTAAAACTAGTCTCTGACAAATAAATCCTCATATCATTGATGAATGAGTGAAGTTGTCCATACATCCACAGTTTTCCCCCTTTTGTTTTATTCATTAGGATAAATGGAAATATCAACTAATATTTATATCAGAACTATATTATTTTGTCAGCATGAACAACTACTGAACTGGGAAGTAATCAAACATTTATTCATAGTCTAATTTTGTGAAATCATGGTTGAATTGTAATCATACTTTGGCTACAAATGCAAGAGTTCAGCAAAAACCAGGCTAAGTATTCTGGGAGGATAAATTAGCTATGTCATATTTACAATAAAGATTATTATGTATCTTACTATTTTCCTAAACTGTGTACTAACACCCGTTTGCATCGGTAGAGATTATAATAGAATTATGTACATAGATGCATTTTTCCTACAAGAGCAGGTTGTTAAACCTTTTCCAGCAAGCCACTGGATAAAGCAGAGCCAGTACAGAAATTGGCATAGTTACTGTGGGAGCACATGTAAGGGGTTGTAAGTCATCCAGGAAGGATGGCATGAGGGGAGAAAGAAGAGGAAAAGGAAGATTTAGCTGAGATGGCTAGCTGAATTCAGATTCCTCCCCTTTCTTTCAGACTGTGCTATGCTTTGTAGCAGATCATGATGAAGATAAAATTCACAGGCTCTCTTTTCATTCTGTGATCAGCACGGCTGATCACAAATGCACTGGCTGTTGTTTGGACTGGAAGGTACTCAAGAGCAGCACTTCTTATAGTCCTTCCTGTTTTTGCTACAACCACATTTTTGTGACAACCTAATAAGCACTGTTGAAATCACCTGCTTTCCCTTGTGAGATGCTTCTAGACAGTCTGGCTCTGTGTGGGTTCTCTGTTCAGTGCTCACTGTTCTTTGAGTTATTCTGGGAAACCTAAGCCTCTCCCACATCACTGGAAAGCACCATCTATACATCACCCAAAATGGCAGGGCTACTTCCTCTAGCTCCTGTCTTCCATATTGAAAGTGATAGGGTTCATTACCTTCAAGAGACAGTGAGGGAGTATTGTACTCAGCACACCACAGGAGAGCATTTCCTTAGGTGAGATTCTGCTCTCAGCCCTTCCAGATCATTTTTCCTATGTCCCAGTTCTCAAGTCTTCCTCCTCCACATTTATTTTGCTCTTTTCCTCACATAGATAATAAGCTTTAGTTAGGGGCACCTGGGTGGCTCAGTGGGTTAAAGCCTTTGCCTTCGGCTCAGGTCATGATCCCAGGGTCCTGGGATCGAGCCCCACATCAGGCTCTCTGCTCAGTGGGGAGCCTGCTTTCTCCTCTCTCTCTGCCTGCCTCTCTGCCTACTTGTGATCTTTTTTGAGATCTAAAAAAAAAAAAAAAAAAGCTTTAGTTAATTTTTATAGAATTCATAAGATTGAATACTTGAGAAATAAGAAATATCTTTGAGTTTAAAGTTAAAAATTCATGTTTTTTTCCCAGTCAAAACCATTTTTACTATTCTCTAAGACTTTAAAAAAGTGATTAGTAAAACTGTTTTTTAAAGACAAATATAGAATTCTTGTGGCTTATTTTTTTCTTTAAAAAAACTATATTTTTCTTTATTAAGTTCATCGTATAGCACATACCTAGGCTGTAAGTTTCTTAGAGAAAGAAACAATGAAATTTATCTAATTATCATGAGCTACGAGCTCCGTCACTATCCTATACCTAAAGTGAATACATAAATATTTTTATTTTTTTCTTCTTTTTTAAATACATAAATATTTTTAAATTACTTCTTTAAAACTTGATTACATAAATGAGGTCATAAACATTTTTTATAATTAATATGTCTTCTATCAAAGCAATGTGCAGTGGAATGTTTTTAAAGATGCATTAATGTTTTTAAAGATGCAACAACCAGCTGTGTTGTCTCTGATTTTCTCAATAGTCACCCTAACTCCATTTATTAAAAAAAATCTATTCATCCATCCATCCGTCCATCCATCCATCCATCCATCCTTTCAACCAGCTGATAAGCCAGTCATTCATTCTGTAAATACTAGCCTGTGTTCTAGTTATATAACAGTGTGCAAAAAAGAAAGGCCCTGCTCTCTTGGGAAGAAGAGAATATGAAGTCTGTCAAATAAAATGGGATAGAAAAAATATGTCTCTGGTACTTCTCAGAGTAGAGGCCTTTAGGCGGGGAAGAAGGATCTAGAAAAGCATGGGGGAGGAAATGAACACTATGTTGAGATTTCAAAGGTGTAAAAGGGCTGGGCCCAGGAGTGTGGAGGGCAGTAGTGTTCAGGCAGACTGCAGCACAACAGCTGCAAAGCTACGGGGAAGAGAATGTGACATGTTCTAGGAGCAAAACGAATTGCAGTTTTCCCAGGGCTTGGATTATGAAGCAGGGAGGATGTTTTGATGAGGCTGCCGGTGTGAGAAGAGGCTAGAATGTGAGAGGCTCAATTAACTGGTTAGAGGGTTTGGCGTTCTCATCATGAATGAAGTGTAGAGAACGGGTTACTGTGCAAGGGGGGACAGGACTAGGGCT